TCTCGAAATGAGGAACATAGCCATATAGGCGGTGAAGCTTACAGCCTTCACTTGGAGTGAAACCTACTTGCAGAAGGTAGTGTAGTAACTACGGAAGCGGCAGCTGACTAACCGAACCATGTGGCTTGCAAAATGTAGCATTTTGACCGGCCAACAAGTTGTACGCACTGGCGGATTATGCCGGCAGAAAAATTGGCAGAATTCGGTACTTTTTCTGGTACGTTTCATGCATGTTTGGTATGTGGATAAAGAAATGGAGCAGAATTCGAGGAATTGTCCGCCATAAGGTTTGTATGGTTCTGCCAATTTCACTGCTTTTCGAGCAGAATCTGCCACCTTTTCGAGCAGAATCTGCCACCTTTTCGAGCAGAATCCGCCGGTCCCTAGAACAACACTTCATTGTTGCGAGATTTTAAATGGATAAGCATGCCATGTTGAACTATGGGTACATATAATAGAGTGTAGCAGCGCTGGATTGCTACATTGTAGCTGGGAATAGATGGGGACAATGATTCAGATGACGCTAGCTGGAGACACCACGCCTCGCGTGTGACCAGTTTTCGCTCGTCTGGTAGTTCAGTAAGGCCCCGTCCGTAAATATCGATGTTTTTTTAGAGACGATATTGGTGCTTCTCTCCCGTGACCCCCCCCCCCCCCCTCCCCCCAGAAGACGCACATGTACATCTAGATCATGGAATCCTCAATCTGCGGACAGAACTGTTTCGTCCTTTGTGGACTCGTCAGCGCAGCACAGAGGAAATGAGCATAGATCATGGAATCAATATTTTTGGATGCTCATTTTTTTCTCCTTTTTTTGTCAATAATATGAACCCAAGATGGCAAGTTTGCAGTATTTATTATGGTCTAATTGAGAAGGAGAGCATTATGACTTTTTTGGTCGCCCTCGAGAACACTTGGGGCCAACAGCCTTCTTGTGCTGCATGAGAAGGTCTCCTGCAGCCATCGTTCGGCCGATTTCCACAATCAATAGCTCATTCTTTTGCTCTTGAAATTCGCCATGGGCGTACAGCTTCCAATTTTTGATTTTGTTCTTGTGTCGCGAGTTTTAGCTCCGCGAACGGAAGCTGGTTTCACATTTCTTGTATAGCCATTTAGACGTCCGCGTGCAGGGATCGGCGAAACTTCAGATATTTACATCGATATTTTTCTGATGCTCGAAAAGACGCACATGGCTCAGACGCACCAATATCGTCTCTAAAAAAACATCGATATTTACGGACGGCATCAAAAGCACCCATATTGCCAGTTTGCTGCAGATATGCCACTTTAAAGGGGAAGTATACCCTAAAATCAAATTTTCACCAGTTGTAGTCTTCTGGGTGCTGAGTCGAATGGTCTTGGTCCGAGGAAGCTGCGACGCTCTCTTCCTACTTGAATCCCAATCGAACTCGCGCACTTCCACCGAAACTGGGTGACTGCGCCCCACGAGATGGGGATTTGTATGCAAAATGTCACTAAAAGCGCCATTTCGTTCTTATAAAAGCACGGATGACCGCGATTGACCCATATGTTGTAGTCTTTTGGACGCTGAGTCGACTGGTTTTGGTCCGAAAAGGCTGCGATGCAGCGTTCCTCCTTTATTCCCAATCGAACATGGTTGAACAAGCGGTCACGTGCTCCTGGGTGCCCAAATCACCTGGTCACCGCGCCAGCAGGCGACAACTTTCACACCAAGGTTCAACTCGAGTTCAACTCGAGTGACAGGACTGCACCCAAAAAAGGTCAAACAGGCTAGTAAGTTGTACCCTGCAGGCTAGGGCCGTGATCGTTTGGTCGGATCCAGATCCAGATCCATCGGATCCACTGGATCTGCAATGATCGATTGGTCGAATCCGGATCCAGATCCTTCGGATTTGGATCCGAGCAACCCTGCCCCGGGAGCAGGGTTGACTGGATCCATCGGATCCAAATGTGACCTTTGGGCGTATATGGTGGGTAAAAATCATTTTTATACTCATTGTCGTACGTCTAGTGGACTTTTGTTGACTTTTCGTACGACGCGGGCGATCAGTACGACTTGTGCCTTTTTTGGGTGACCTGTCAGCGCCATTTTTTACTTCGTGAACATGGCAACAGCCAAGGTCCGCAAAAAAGTGTTCGGTTGATTCTGAAGGATCCGACGGATCTGAGATTTGGATCTGGATCTGGATCCGACCAAACGATCATAGCCTAGGCCTTTCCGGATTATGTGTTTGCATATTTTTGCATTTTGGGGGTCAAAATGCATTTTGTCCATTTTGACCCACTTGCACTTTGGACTAGTTTGGGCCAGGGAGTCGTAAAATACCGGTATTTTACGACTCCCTGCAAGCGATAGGTACTTCACGATCACCATGAATGATCACCATGGTGCCAAATGTCACGCGACTAGCTGTCGCCATTTTGTTACCATGGCAACGGTGGCATTTTTTGTGCTTTTTGGGTAAATTTTTGCATTTTCTTTAGAATTTTTTTGATTTATAGGGGTTTTTCAAAAAACTTTCCATTTCCATTTTAGACCAAGAAAAAACGCATAATCCGGAAAAGCCTATAGCAAGGCTGAGCCGCTGACTCGCTGAGCTCATATCATGTCATGAGCTAGCGCCTGTGTGAGTCATGACACGTGGCGAAGTCACTGGAAGCTAGCTGATCAGCTGAAGTGGCATCATTCCTGATTCATGCTGATTTCGACACCGACGTCATCGTGTACAATGTTTGTGGAGTTCAAAAATCACCTTCAAAGGCTTCATGTCTTCAGCACCAGTATTATCGTTATGTATGCAGCAGCTCAAGTCTGCCTGCAAATGTAGCTAATGAAACCTGACTTGGAGCTTGCATGTCTTTCTTTGGCCAGGGAAGAAGGTAGCTGACGTGTGTTTGTCTTCTTTATTAGAAGTGGCGCTGCTGCCCAGTTATCGTCGTAACAAGACTTAGTTTTGTTCTGTGATTTATTTTACTATTTTAAAGTATCTGCAGTACTCGGACCTGACCAGTGCAGTCTTCTTCATAATCTATCTAACATGGCATCCTTATTCTGGATCAGCATCTGCCTGGTGTTCGTGTTGAACACTTCTTCAAGCCTCGGCTGGGGAAGTAACAAGGAAAAGATTCTGCTAAAGGATCTTGAAGTGTTGACACTGGAGGATGGTCGTATGACTCAAGGGCGGCGAAGCAGCCCCATTCCTCAACTGCGGTGCAAATCAAGCGGCTCCGCGTCCTGCCACTCATATACTCCTCGTGCGGTACAGTGCTACAATCGCGGCTCTGACGGCTACGATGTGCAGTGGGAGTGCAAGGCGGACATGGACGCGGCCTACAAGTTCGGTCGCATTTCTGTATCGTGCGAGGGGTACGACTACCCGGACGACAAGTACGTGCTGAAGGGCTCCTGTGGTCTGGAGTACGAGCTCGACTTGACTGGGCATGGACGTGATCAGCAATATAACCAGGGTAGCCAGTACCAGCACCAGCACCAGCAGCATCAACACCAGCAGCAGCAGCATAATCACTACCACACGGGTTATGGTCCTCAACATGGTCAAGGCTTCCTGGCGGATAACAGCTGGACAATTCTCGTCATTGTTGGAGTTATCATCTTTGCTGTGTATCGCTATCGACGCATGCACGACGATGACGATGAGGGAGACGACAGTAGTAGTCGCCGCACCGGCCCTCCACCAAGCGGTGGTGGTCAACCGCCATCGTACGACGAGGCTCAGTCACAACATCACAAGTCACAACCGCGCCAGTCAGCGTACTCGCAGCAATCACACAACACTACTACTGGTGGAAGCACACATACAGGAGCTGCTGCTGGCAGTGGCATGGGTGGTTTCCTTGGTGGTGCAGCCACCGGTGGCTTATTGGGCTACCTGTTTGGCAGCCGCACTCGCACACACCACCACCATCGACCCCACAACACTGGCTATGGTGGTGGATGGGGCAGTGGCTGGGGCAGTGGTGGATCGAGCTGGGGCAGTGGCGGATCGGGCTGGGGAAGTGGCCGATCGGGCTGGGGAAGTGGCGGGTCAAGCTGGGGAGGCAGCTCTTACCGCTCTTCGTCCAGGGGCAGCAGCAGCAGCAGCAGCGGTGGTGGCAGTCGCACCACGTCAGGATTTGGCTCAACAACCCGGCGCTGAGTGCAATAACCCATAGCTGTCTGTCCGTCTGTCCGTCTTTCCTTGTGAGTTACCAGAATGAACACATTGCACCATAACCATGATAACTGTCCTGCTTGCACACTTGGTCTGCTTTTGCAATACTGTGTTCGGTACAAAACTGCATTTGTTTGATATAATTATTGTGAACATACTGTTGAGATGCTTGCTATAGTTCTTTTTAATGTAAAACTTTGACCATGACATTTAATAGCTGGTGTATTTTTTCTTAGTTCCTCTTATAGTAGTGCTACACACACACCATGGTTTGGATGATGCTTACCAGATACTAGTCGCACGGATACAGCGTACGGCCTCCCTGACCGGCTCATGTCAATACATTTTTAGCCCTCCTTGAATGCAAAGCTGCAATCAGGAACTAGAGTGGTTCACTGCGGCGCTGTTTGCTGTCACAGTACTGGTGATTGTGATGTCGTCTCCCAACACTTGCACTATGTACGAGCAGTGCTGCCCATTGGATCAGTTGGCTAGTGCTATTTACAGTGTTTTGCAGCCCCAGACCTGTGGATACTGGGAACTGATCCAGGATGCTAACTCAATTTACTTGCATCATCATCATCATCATCATCATCATCATGAGATTGGACTTCATTAGAGAGGTTAAGCCCCACGTTGTTTTTGACAGGACGCGAAAGTTAGTTCAGCTCACGCGTTGGAAAACAACGCGAGTGAGTGACCTGCAGCTCACGTCGAAGTTTGGAGTTTTGCGCCAAATTTGACGTGAAATTGCGCATCATGTCAGAAATAACGTGCGTCTTCACCTTTTTGTTGAGGTGCACTGTACTTCAAAATCAACACTGCTCAATGAGAGTGTAAACAGGGGATTTCATGGTTCGAATAATATAATCTGCTCATGAACAAATGAACACTCGACTTGGATGGTACTTGCGGCATAAATTAAATTAAACAGAGAGGTTTGATTATCCTACTAATAGGATAAGTTGATCAATAGGGAACGGCACAAGGCCATGCCGCGATGATGAATGTACCAACAATAATTCTGGTCCTCTTGCATATTGCCTGAGCAATTCTATGAATAGGGGCCTGCTCACACAGATATAATACCACTAATACCAAGAGTACAGTATGTACTCTTGCTAATACTAATAAGGTAGAAGTAAGCTAATCGAGTGGTACAAGGCAATGCCGTGATAAAGAAAGCGGTAACAGTAATCCGGGTCCTCTTGCTCACTGCCTGAGCAAAGCTATGAATTGGGTCTGCCCACACAGATATTCAGGCTGGTGCCACTATTATCAGCACTTACAGTAAAGAGGAAACAAAAGTGGAATACTAGTACATGCAGTAAGTTACTAACTTATCATGAATTATCTCCGGCTAGAACGGAAAGAGAACGGAGAACAAACAATGCACAATGCAAATGCCGGCGACATGCAGCTGATTGTACGCAGATAAAAGAAAATCGGTCCGGACTGGAACGATGCAGACCATGATGCAGAAATGATCAAGGCTTTTGCTGCCCGAACTGTTCATATTACACATGTATGTGATTATCTTCTTGCAGATCAGACAATGGTAGGCTGATAGTGTTGGACGTGAATGAGCAGCTTTGAGCCATCCCACTCAGTTCTGTGGTGTCCAGCAATGCAGCATCACTGGCATGTAGCTGCTCCCGTGTTGGCTCCAGTGCGCTACAGTTGGGCTGTAGGCTTGCACGCATGGAGGAGCTCATTGACACACTCCCCGATCCGCTCAGGCTCTCAGGACTGCTACTGCTGGGGCCTCGCGGTCGCTGAGGTTCGCGTGGCAATCGCTCGTGCATCTCTGGGAGATGTTCATCTGCCAGTTCCATCTGAGATGCCGCTGAATTGTAAGACACGTGCAGGCGGCCAGTATCGGCCCTACAATCCAGCTCTTCCTCAATACTAGGGCACCGCACATCCAGGTCAGCTGTCCGCCTGTATGGGACATGCATCGTGGATTGACGAGACAGCTGAATGATGCTGTGGGCTTGCAGGCAGCTATTGGGATGGTTGAGGAGATAGGACCTGGCATCCTGAAAAGTCGGCCGGTCGTCGGCATTCACCACCCAACACTGTTGCATCAGCTGGAACCTGCAGCGGTGTAAGAAGTCAGAACTGTGGTCAAATCCAGAGTTGGAGTGCTCAATAAGCACGCACTGTAAAAACTCTGCCACAGTCCAACACCCTGAAAAGCATAGTACCAAGGTGCAGTCATGGTTTAACCCTTTACCGTTTGTACGTACAAATTTCGACCGCTCGCGGTCGATGACTTCTATGCGCACAGCGCTGGACTGGTTCACCGCAGAGAGCTGGGATTTTCCCTACTAGTAGCCAAGATATACGCGCAGAGGGTGCCGACAATTTCTTTGTGTGATGCAATATAAAAAATCGCGAAAATTGCGATTTGAAAAATGCGCTTTGGGAAAAGTGCGTACCCTGCGACTTTTGGTATTGCCTGCAGATTATTTCGACTTTTGCTTGAGCTGGCCTCACGCCTGTCTGCCCTGCTGTGCAAGCCATGGACGCGGAGCAAACTCTTTCGCTTCTGGAGACCCTTCCTGACGACTCTGTCGCTGCCTCATCCAGCGAAGATGAGTTTGTGGAGCCAGACAATCCTGTTGAAAATATCTATTCTGACGACGACCGCGACGATGACATGGCGAGTGAAAGCAGCGCCAGTGAGAGTGACATGGATGTCACAGACGACAACAGTGTCGCTGAGATGAGTGCCACTAGTGGTGGAAGGGGACGTGGCAGAGAGAGAGGATTCGGCCGTGGAATAGGCCGTCGTCACGGTAGAGGTCGTGGTGCACAGGTACTATGTACAGCCAGCGGTGCAACCTGCACTAGTCGATATTTGCAGTACTTGGGACAATGCTGACACCGCTATGACTGGTAACACTCCTGCATTCCACCCAGAGAACGAACCTGGTATCCACTTACCTGAGGGAGCCACTCCAGTGCAAGGATCTGATTTATTGCATATTGCAACAGTTTGCCCGATCGGCAATAAATTCAAATAATTATTAGTGCTAAATAGTGAAATCTCTGTTCGGTTTCTGGACTTGAAAGTTGTTGCATCGCATTCCTGAGGGTTTTTACTTTCAGAATCACCTCATTTTGTACATAATAAAAGTGAAAAATAAAAAGTTACGGCATGAACAATGACGGTCGGTTTTTGCTGTACAAATACCTAAAACGGTAAAGGGTTAACTTGGCAGGTTCAACAATTGGTAGCTGGATAGCGGATGTTGATGTGACCAAGACAGCCAGACCAGGGACGGCTCATTGTCAAATTCTATGCCAGGGTAACTCGAAAGAATTTCAACAAAATTCGTTTGAAAGGTTTCACGACAAGTTTACAATGCTATAAATAGCGACTTCAATCACGTGACCAAAAGGCAGAAATCCTTCGTCGCACGAATGTATGGTGCAAGCATGGCGTGCACGGAACAATTTTTCTCTCGACGTTCTACACCTGCCTACATGTTATTCATATGCCCAGCGCCTTCGATTTTCGTGACATGATGGGCAAGCATATACAAATAGCTTTCCAACAGTGTGTCGCATGTCATGAGTCATCGATTTTTTTATATATCGCTCCGTATATTTAGTTTTCAAAGGAAATTTTTGGCATCTCAGCTACCTTGCCCGTCAATGACCGAGTCCCTATCGTGTTCAGAGTCCTCGAATTAGTTTAGATAGGTTCATGGTAAGGTTCTCCTCCGTTGCCGTTTTAGCAGTTTGAAGAATTTGTGCACAGCGACTGAAGTTGGCTATGGAGTCAGTGCACTATTTGAGTGGCTCTGTGTGACAGAGCGAACAGACTTTGGCTTGTAAACCGTTATTGTTCTTCATGTCAAGGTTCTGGAGGTGCTTGAGCAGGAGGTGGTTATTTCAATCCATCGAAGCCGAGAGCACATCCCGTCCAACATCTACATGTACGATGGTTTCTCCGTCACTCTCCAACAACACCAAACCCGCACATCGCGCATACGTTCATGGTGTATGCATGAGGCCCAAGAAACCCACTTTTGTGCCATCGCTCTGCATACAATTGCATACATGGCCTCTGACGATTGCATACCAACTTTGCGGCCTCATAACTCCGGTTTGGGACAAGATATACCCATAAAATATTTCTGTATGTGTTCTGCAGAGGTTTCTCTTTCCAGTCGTGTAATTTGCTGGCCCTAATTCCAATTTTAGAATTTTGGACTGAAGTCGCTATTATAAAGGGAATTGTACTTGTACTGTGCTGAAATTATGTTGTATCCTAGTGATCCAGCGCCTTTCATCCCATTCACCCACTGCCCCCCCCCCCCCTCCCGAAGAAACATTGCTCTTGTTGATACAATACTCACACAAATTCTGGGCACCGTTCGGGCCGTGTTAGACGCTCTCCCAACTCCAAGTACTGTCGAACATTCTCATTGAGGATGCTACGATATGGTGCGCGTCCTAGGGAAAAGATCTCCCACATAAGGACTCCAAATGACCACTGGGAAGGACATCAAAAAATAAAAATGTCGCGTTAAACAAAAGTTCAAGCAGTACGTTGAGTGGTTGACCCATAAAATACCAAAGTTAAAATGCACCTGAGTTCAAAGTATGAATAGTGTTGCTGATACGAGTAAATGTTTCCAGTACAATACCACCCGCACCTCGCCTCCGCCAATGCTACTGTCACCACTCCATCCGCTGCATGACAGTCAACTGGGGACTCGTGGTCTGGCACGAGGGTAGCATGGATGCAGCGAGTGGGATTTACTGCCTTTGACCACTTTGGCGGTGGGTCTGGTCTACTCACCTCCCACCGCTTTAGGATCTGCATTGTTCCCTGAGGGTGGTGGTCCTGGTGGACCTGGTGGTGTTCCGGCGGATGCAGAAAACTCAGTCCGACTGACTATCACACGAGTCGTGGATTCTATTAAGGCCCCAAGAAAAGTTGACATCAGCAAAAGAAACAATGGATGCGACCAGCTGTGCAGTTGTACACTCTTGGTGAAATGCAACAATAGGCAAGAAAATTCCACCGGTATGACCTTCTTTGGTTCATACTAAGTCATGTTGGGGAGGGGGGGGGGGGGGTTCGATTTGTCAAATCGGGATTCAGATTAGGTTACTAGTAGTCGGATGATTCACACGAACAAATTGAACAGCGCTTAGCTTGAGGATTGTGATGGCACATGTGCCGTTAACAAACAGTGACTATGGCGATGTGCAGAAAATTAAGCAGGCAGCAGTCACCAAACCAAGCTGGCTGCAATCTCTTGCTAGAGAAAACTATAACGGGGTAATTTTTCATACTCTTTGACAGACCATCACGCAGGGGGCTGTGGAAAACAAAACTGCAACTACCAGGAACATATCCATTCGAGATAGTGGTTGCGACTTTGGTGGAAAGTTGCTGGCTGTCAAGTCGGCGGGAAAGCACGAGCTCCGGCGTGGGGAGCAGCCAACTTTCCTATACTATGTATCCATTCCTTTCCAAAATGGGGAGACAATCGATAGCGGGGAAAACCTGAGCAATCCAAGCAATCCGGCTTGGTCATGCGGATTCCTGTGATTCAAATCCGTCCAATCCTGATCTGGAATGATAGATTCAACATGCCCAAATCCGACCAATCCTTTGGATATTCATCGGGATTCGACAAATCGAAAGCTGCCATGGTTACAGAAAAGCAAAATAACAATTTATAAAGCTCCTGGAAAGCTGTAACTGCAAAACAAAAAAAAGAAAATGCGCCGCCCGATAAGGGACTTGAACCCTTGACCCTCAGATTAAAAGTCTGATGCTCTACCAACTGAGCTAACCGGGCTACATGGAGACTGCAGCAGGCAACAGCAATACGGTATTCACTGACATTCCCTTACCACATCACTTTTCTCCGAGAAGACTTGGTTCACCAAGCTTTCAAGTGCCATCCACTTGATCGGCAGACAGCGTGTTGTGCTAATTCGATAATACGTTTGGTTGTGCAGACTTCGAGCCAGACCGAAGTCTCCAATCTTTGCCTCCAACCGGTTGTTCAGCCTAGAATGAGTTTCAAAAGCCAGTACAGATATTGTGGAGGACTTCATTGTACGATCAGGTGCACAGTGCAACAGTGCAACATTACTACTACGAGTACTCATCCCATAGTGCGCAGAGTTGTAACTGGACGAGGTTACTAGCGTGCTGTGTTCTTTCCTTCTCTCTTTTCAATTTTTGATAACAGCAATCCCCACAGGCCTACTAAAGCGGGATTCACAGAAGCTTTTTTGCGATGCGACACGCGATGCGACAGGCGCGAAACCGGGAAAACCCCAAATCGCAGCCCACGCAACTGCTGCAACTGGGCCATCGCAGGCCATCGCAGAAGTTGAGCTTGGCTCAACTTTTGCGATGCGATGCGACAAGCGATTTGGCGTACGATTTTGATCTTTTCTACAGCAAAGTTGTACAAAGGTTCAAGAGTTGCCTATAAATTTGTACAAGTTGTATCAAACCGCGCGAATATCATGGTGACGTAGCCAAATCAGCAAGACTTTGTCGCATCACTGACTTCTTCTGTGAATGGTATTTCACGAGTTCGCATCGCACGCGTCCGTCGCAAATCGCGTCGCATCGCGTGTCGCATCGCAAAAAAACTTCTGTGAATCCCGCTCCAGGCCTTCTTACAGGGTACCCTGGATGTGCCAATGCAAGGTTACGGAAGCGAAACATAGATGTGCAAAAGAAATTGTTAGCAGGTAACGGGATTCTAACGATCGGAGCCTAGGAAACTAAGAGAAAAGAGACTATACCGATTCGAAACAGGGGGAAGAGCACGGGCCTTTGTTCCCAACATAGAAGCCAAGCCTGCGGTTGGCACTACTCAAGATAAAACTACACTGGTGCTGCAGGATCACATGCCACGGCTGCGGTGTCGATAACTCATGATCTCAGTGGCCACGCATCTAAATGTGAAAACGAGATTTCACTCGTAGCACGCTCCAGTACTCACGTTACTGTATCCAATGTACCCAATGTTGACTACTGATGCTGTATTAGAGACTCTACCGTGCTCTCTACAGTGGCGACAAGTACAACGGCCGACCTACATGGGGTTGCGCTGCACTTGCACTATATAAACCCCGGCCTTTGCTGTGAACACGACTCTGCTTCATTCGTGAGGTTGAGTTTTGCTTGTCACCATCGTGGTAGTATGAACTTCATACACGTCGTATACATACAATCACACAATCAAGGTCAGTCGGGGCAGCTTGAAAGAGTGCTCTACTGTATTTCCGTACACTACATCATCATGTAAGTGCTGTATACATGTACGTACATGCAGTTCCTGGCGGCCAAGTCACGGTGAATGAACCCTTTCGACTCCAAATAGGACATTCCGCAGGCAATCTGCACACAGAATGTTACCAGCAGTCTGGTAATGTCCTGAGCAGTGGGATGAAATACAGAACCAACAACGCTGCAATACGGCACAATTTTGATGACTATGATGGATTGAATTCAACTGGGAGATGGAGGGGGAGATGAGGGGTGGCAGTGTATGCATGCCCATACTACTGTTGTGGACATGAAAATCCAGTCCGAGGCTAAGCGGCCCCATGCCATGGCGCTGGCCATGCAGCCGTGAGTATGCATATGATCAACATGTGCACCGCATGCAACGTTCTGTACGCACTGAGGGCGCCGGCCCTGGTCATTAAGCCGGATTTCCATGTCCACGGCAGTAGTAGTTAGTTACTTTGTGGTAGTGGTGAAACGAATGTCAAAACCTAATAGTCGAATATTCTTCAGCTTAACGAACGAATGAACGAATATTCTTTTGGTAACACAGATGACATCACATGCCCTCCTCTCAGTCATTTGATGGATATTGTCAATACTAATAATATTATTAGGTATGACAAACGGTAGTGCCACGTAAAATATACTGCCACATAAGGCTACTTCGAAGTTCATAAATGTTACGTGCAACATTGGCAGTCCAGTATAGACATACATGTGCATACATGCAGTACAAAGTCACAGGCAGGCTGTACGCACTGCACTGTACCGTGTTCGGCGTCCATGTACATGTATGTACAGGCACTGCATTCGAAGTGACGTAACGAATACTCGAATGTGACTTAACGAATATTCGAATGTGACAAACCGAACGACTGTTCGAATATTCGAATATTCGTTTCACCACTATTTTGTGGGTTTGTGGTTACACGACGATTGCTTCTGCTTTTGTTGTGTGCAGAGTTCAAATGGTTTTCAATGTCAGCTTTAAACACTGGCATCTGAAAACGGCCATGCTGCCGACTGCGCCATGCAGGTCTGCCCAATGTCCAAAAATTCACCTCCGTGTATGTAGGCCGGGCCACGTTGTCTGTGAGTAATCCTTTCCTGGTTACACACCAATATAGGGCTGGAATGTCTTATGGCGCCATGGTGCAATGGTGCAATGTTGCAGGCTGGGAGTCCACGCATGATGCTGGTATGCACTCAGTGCCCCGCTGGTATGTAATCAGTGCCCTGCTGGGGACGGTCGGTCGGTGATAATGTATATCTTACCTCGCTCCATATGTCTTCTAGGCTGATGGACTTGCTCAGATGCTGCAGATAGGACCTTAGGTCACCCTCAGCCATGTACTCCAGGCAGACCAGAGGAGGACCGCTCAGGCGCAGGCACACGCCGACCAGGCCCACGATGTTTGGATGGTGGAAGTTCTGCATGATGAGAGCCTCCGATAGAAAGTTGTCCACATCCTCAATGCTGTTCACAGCTGCAGTTGGTACCCACAGGGGACAGGACATGATATGCTATGACGTGACTAATATGCTATGATGTGCCTACAGTGCATTTCAAAACTATAGACGCGTAGGGTTTTGGAAATATTTCAAATTTGGCTGGAACTTTTTGAGAATAGTTTTCGGAATATTGCTCAGGATCGCTCCACAATTACTCTCATATAGTTTCTAAAGGATTGGATAAGAGACGCCCAATTTGGAAAAATTTATGCACAAAGTGATCACAGATTTTATGTGGTATAGATGCTGGCATAACGGTTTTTGCCTAGGTACGCGTCTATAGTTTTGAAATGGACTGTAATATGCTATGATGTGACTAATGCAAGCAGCAAATCTAGTACTACCTAGTCCGAGCAGTAGTTTGAAATGTTTGGGCAAGGGTGAGATCTAACAAATGGCAAATACATGTCAACATACCACACAGTTGGTATGTCATGGCAAGCACCCATGCCAGGCTGTCCGACCTTATCACCATGCCAAGCACCCATGCCAGGCTGTCCGACCTTATCACCATGCCAAAGACCATGTATAATGTAAACAAAGACATTTGTAGTAAAGAAAAAAAGGGACCAATAAACTGCAAGTTACGCTATATTGTCCACTAACACCACCAGTTATTTAACAATCAGCTCATGCGATCACATTGCTTGACACTGACCGACGGTACTGACGTTCTACAACTAACTGGCTAACAGCCTTTTTTCTTTTCTATAAATTTACCCTTCGCTCTCCATCCGAGTCCATTCTTGCACACCTGAAAAGACATTTGTCCGCCATAATATGAACAATCACAAATGCTTCACCCCAATGCTAGTTGGTTCAGCTCAAAGTGCTACAGGGCAGTTAGACGGTCTGCCATGTGGTACTGCTGATTGAAATCGTGCTCTAATAGACTGTCTCATTAGTCATTACTATACCTTTTAGTGTCTTCACAGCAACGGTCATTGTCTGCCGCCCTTTCATAACGGAGCCCGCCGTAACACGTCCATATGCACCTGTGTACATAAGAAAAGAAGAGGATTCTGCCTCAGAAACAGAATGGATTTAGTTTAAAAACCAATTGAACTTGCAGATTCGGGCCAAACCCTGCAGCTATCCAGATCCTGGGAGGCACGTACCCTCTAAAACCAAAACATGTGATAACGATAAAACGTGCGAGTGCGTGCATATTCACAAACAGACGTTTCACATCATGCAGGCTGAGTAACTATGGGCTCTGTGCGAATGGGAATCAGGGTACTGCAAGATTGATCGTGTCATGTGAGATTCTGCTGTCGTATACCAATGATGCTAGTTGCACGCTCTTTGATTGTGCATCCGCACCTGTATCCCAAACCTAAACCAATAAGATTGGTATTCCACTGATGATGATGGCATGGGCACTCATCCATTGCCATAGTAAGTTAGCTGCAAGGTGAACTGCGTGTTGGGGGGGGGGGGGGGGAGAGACATAGTTAGAGAGAGAGAGAGTGAGAGAGAGAGAGAGAGAGTGTGTGTGTGTGTGTGTGTGTGTGTGTGTGTGTGAGAAAGAGAGAGAGAGAGAGAGAGAGAGAGAGAGAGAGAGAGAGAGAAAGAGAGAGAGAGAGAGAGAGAGAGAGAGAGAGAGAGAGAGTAATCGCACCACCATCATCATAACAGTGCACATGCACAATCCACTCTATTGCAACATGTCTGCCTGCACAGCTACAGAGCACAGTGCTTCAAAGTATACAAATCCATGGATACTAGTACTTGCCAACTCCTATCTCATTGCCGATGCTGATCTCTGAGGATTTGAGGAGTACATTCTTCAGTAGAGGTATCCAGTGCTGGAGCAAGTCATTGACAGCCTGTTGGTCTGCTCCTGCGCAGCAGTATAGTGCACCCGGCAATGCATAAGTGAGAAGGGTTGTCTGTACTGCAGTGATGAAGCTTCGATATAACCTACATGCACCTCTAAGGAACTTGAAAAGTCACTTTATGTACTTAAAGCCGAAGTCTCCATATCTGAAGTAAAATGACTGGATATGATATAAAAGGTCTTCGGCAAAAAGCGTACTTTATCCACAGCAAAATGTACAGTGTAAGCACTATACCCATCATCTGCCCTCCCATGGAAGCCCTCCAATGTTTCCAACCTCCTGTACCGACCCGGGCCCTCATCCATACCTTCAGCAGTGAGAGTATCGCTCTCCACTGTGTTCTGTCGCAGCCTGTTGTTGATGTTATCTGTATTATCCTCCTCGCTAGGTGCCGCGGGTGTTGACTTTGCCCTCACTCTGAATGGCGCAACATGTTTAACATACAAAGCAGAACACCATAAGAAAATGTTGAGCGGTCGCTGCTTGGCTGCTTGGATGACGATTACACCCTAGCTTAGGTGGTAGAGCATCAGTGGCCATAAGCAAGGGTTCCTGGTTCAGTCGAGCCCTGGTTGTGACAGTTGATTTTTCAACTCCCTCAACCTTACGTATACATAGGAAGGTCTCGGATGGAGAGCCAGGGATTAAAATTAAAGGAAAGGACCAAAATGTTAAGTGTTATCCATAGTTTGTCCCCTATAGATAGAGCTTAACATCCCCTGGCAGGTCGTTGAATGTCAGTACCACGTCAGTCAGTACTGTGCTAACTGCTGCACCTTCTGGCCCCACAATATCTTGCTTATAGTGTTGGACAAACTACGGTTGACATAACGTAACATTTTCTCCTTTCTCTTAACCATTAGGAAGGTCTGTCATTTCGTATGTTGAAACCTTTCTGTCTCGAGTCGAATATGGAGATTCTGAATTCAAGCAAGCGAGCCTCCTCAATCTGGAAAGCTCTTTTCAATTTCTCTATTCCTGCATACTAAGCATACTAAGTACGTGGTCATCACGGGCAACTAAAATGGCATCCGCAGGCACAGGTGAAATAGGTATAAAAAAAACAGGAACCGGAAAAAAACTTTAGACTCGACTCTTTGAAGTTTTTCCCTTCAATTTCCCTGAAAGTTCTATTGCTCTGTCGACTCTCAAAATTCGGAATGCAGAAGCTTTCTATTTTCTTCGGATTCTGAATAAGAGGCAACTTATCACAGTTGTCATCATACCGTCTTTCAGCCAAACGACAATGGTCTGGCGCAAAGTGGAATATCCAGGAATTGCAGGAGCCGAGTCGCAATTCCGATCTTTGCAACACAGTATCACATGTCGATCATATGATCCATATCCGTATCATATATGTTAGACTCAGTCGGCAGTCATTGTCCTATAAACAGTCGGAGGTCCAGTAGGGAGCCAAACTCATGATCTAGTTATATTTTGATGACTCCGCCAAGCTCGTGCGACTTTCCCTGTAGAAAGTCGAAAGTTGAAACATTTCTAATACGCAGTCTGAGTTTTTGTCGGTTGGGATTTTCGGAAAGATCACGCGCTCATTCCATCCACCAACCATGGACTGTGCAGGATAGTTTGAACAGTCCAGCAGCACTCAACCACATCATCGTACTTCTCAAGGTAGAGCAGCTACATGGCATTGTACAAGTACAACAGTTTGCTGTGTTGGAGTCTTTGGCTCGCGGAGCTGAAGCTAATGGAAATGATACCACCACCACCTGTTACTACAGTAGTAGTGGTCATTGGACATTTTTTGGTAGAACCTGGCGGAGCGTGGAGGCCAGCTAACTCTCGGCAAGGAAAGAAACATCCGCGTGGCAATAGACCTTTGGTACAAATACAAGCTACTTTTGTGTAGCACCGTATCGCAACAGCTACTTGGTACGATTTTAACTTCTCGGCTTTTCTTCTGCTTCAAGGCATTCAAGTTGGTACTGGTCCTGCCTGCTCTCCTGATCACCAGAAGCCAGAGCCTCAACGATGACCATCATCAAAGACTACAGAAACTGATAGCACCGGTACTTGAAAAAATACTAGTAAGCTTTGGAACATATCGCTTTGAATCCCACAGCCTTTCCTACTTTGTGAAGTAAGCCCTGCATGTTTGTTGACTTCCTGACCCTACAAAGAAGAGCAAGGCAATGAGTATGGCTTGGCACTTGGACTCCAATGACAGAACATTAGCAGCGCGAAAGAGAAAATCCAAATTATCCACCTGTAAGTGCGTTTTTGTTCGATTATAAGACCATGGACTTATATGCGAGAGACAAACATTGCATTGACATGTACATGTGCAAGTATGCATATAATTGGTGAATGCCAGTACAATGGAACCATGATGAACCTCGTGTGGTTTTGTGATTTTCATTCACTTATAAGTGCATGTTCTTTTAAGCAAGAGTGCTCTTATATCCAATAATAAGAACATGTCCCTAAATGCGCGAGATTACGGTAATTGTCCCTGCATTCACACCCAAACAGCCAAACACGCCATTTGACTGTACCCAGCACATGTAGTCGTAGAACAGAAGTGCCGTGTTTTATCTATTCGTGGTGTTTGTAGGTAGGACTTCCATTGCATACTGGGGATTCAACTGCTTATAGACGCCTAGGGGCACATCATCCGACTGTTTACAGGATTCAGAGTGCATACATGTACAAGACTCCTGACTGCGTACCTGACTCTTGACTGCGTACCGGACTCCATAGTGACCCGACTGGCCATAGTGACCCGACTGACCATAGTGACCGGACTGCCTATAGTGACCCGACTGCCTATAGTGACCGGACTGCCTATAGTGACCGGACTACCTATAGTGACCGGACTACCTATAGTGACCCGTCTACGTACTGAGTCCAACATAATACACATATACATGCATCACGTGAGCTCCGCTGAGGAGACCTAGCGAGGTCGAACCAGCTAGCTGTCCAGAGATGGAGTATCATACATGTACGTCTATGCATCCAGCAACATGCACATCATGTGATACTGTTGTGTTGGTGTGTTGGTGTTCTGTTGCTGCCTGGTTCTACCTACTTGCAGCAGCCGTTTGCCTGCGTCTTACCTTTGAAAAATGACTATCCCTGCCTTGTACAAGATGACGGCAGCAACCAGTGAGATAATGGGCAAACCGATAGCCAGGCTATTGTTGTATACCTTGCTGTCTGTGTGCGACTTGATCGGCAATGGCTGGCCTTGATACGCAAACCAGAAGGAGTACGAGCAGAATTGTGTAAAGAGCCAGGAATAACAGCAACCAGAAACACCGCCGCCACCCCCACCACCGCCACCACCACCACCACCAGCAGCAGCAGCAACAGCAGCAGCAGCAGCAGCAGTAGCACTGCCAACAGCAGCATATGTGTACAACAACAAAAAAGCACAGGAACATACAGATGAGACTCCAGGTTTCAGTGACCACCCACGGGACGAGCCCGGCCTATCACGATCTTTGAAAGCAGGTGGTCTTGCTAGCTGTTTCAACCTTACCACACACTGAGTAACTGGCAGAACCAAGTCTAGCGTGCTAAAAAGCATTTAAAACCATCCCAGCAATCAAAGTTAAGACAATGTGCATAGACATAGGATGATGGGAGCCATGGTGGGGCAATGACGTAACCGACACATCTACATGACCCTTCCCCCGTTTTTCTTATCCTTTTTAAGTGATCATACTATCGGCGGGCTACACAAGCAAAACTGCATGTACCTTTACAAACCAGGTTGACATCGAATGTGTAATTTGAGAGATACAGCTGCACATGCTTAGGAATGACATTCTCGCTGTGTGTGTACTCCCTGTCTGGGTTTCTAGTCGGCTCCAGCAGGAAGAGGGAAATGTTGAGTTTAGCAGATACATCTAGCGTGCAGTTGCAGGTACAGGAGTACATCAGCTGAAATGGCAGATCATCTGTGTCAGAGATCAGCAGAGACAAGATAATGCTCGACATCATGCAGATCTGTGTCAGAGACCAGCAGAGACCAGATACTGTGTCAGAGATCAGCAGAGACCAGATACTGTGTCAGAGATCAGCAGAGACAAGATTCCGTGTCAGAGCTCAGCAGAGACAAGATACTGTTTCAGAGATCGTGCACGGCTGATTGCACTGGTTTGTGACCTCTCCTCGGCAAACAGCTCCCTGTCCCTGCATGTATGTACGTAGAATCAATACTTTGCATTCTTGCAAGCCGGCTTGTCCATCATACACTGTGTAACGAGCAGCAGTGTCGAGTAGTGTCAGGACAAAGCTTCAAAGGTTCGGACGGCATTCATTCTCCAGCGAACGAATGTCACAAGTTCAACTCAAATGAACCTTTGAGTACATGTGTTACTCCTATGCACAGCACTGCTACGTGCTTGCACTTATCAGTCATAGTCACATTATTATACTGTCACAGTGTGTACGTAGAACAGTTAATCGGTGAATACTTTCGTCCAAGTCCGAAGAAAGGCAGCTTGCCTGGCTGAAAAATTGCCCATTGAGGTTGAAACGTAGTGAAAGGTTAGATATATCGCCGTTTAGTCCTGCATTACAATGAATGAACATTCTTTGGACGAAAGGGAGAAATTAGAATTTCCCAGGAAATATTATTAGTATTTCTGCCCGTACAGTATCTTACACACCGGCGACAGCTCGCGATGTTGAGCTATTGTGCACTCGTATCGACATGTACATACGGTCAGTACGTACGTGCAGATGCCCCTGTCGGATAGACATGCGGTGCAGTGTGATCCTGTGTGGATCACGCCGCACGTGAGATTCAACATCCTGGCACAGTAAAAGGCTAAGGCTATGCAGACGTTGCCAATGACTTTGAAGGTGCGTGTGGTAATACAGGTAAATGCTTGCTCTCATTGTTTGCACTTTCTTCAGCCATGCCAAGACTACAAACGAAGTTGTACTCAAAACTTTTGTGGCTACATTTGTCTTAATTTTGGTCGCCAGTTAGATGGAGTTTTGAGCGGTGCGCTGTAGTTTGCAGTCTAAACAGCACTGAGCAGAATTGCACTTGCAAAAGAGCTTCATCCTGAGACTCCTGCAATCTAGGATATTCTGTGGCATCTTATCCTCCACAGTCAGTTACTACCATGTGATACAACCATTGGCTTGGCAGGAAAATCCTGTAGAATTGCATATCCAGGCAAGATTGGGAGGGGGAACACACTGGAGTAAATAAGCTCCCAAGAGTGTGCAACTCTGCATTATGGGGTCTCCGACGGTGAAAACTCACATCGCGCGTCTCAGGTATGTTTTGTACTTTGTACAACTAAGGATAGCGTGCGCAATCCGAAAATCTGCCATGATTATGCTAGCGAGTTGCATATGTGCAGTGAGTTTCTGTCAGGGAGTGCTTTTAGTATTACTCTGCTACTCGCTAAACGGGCTGGAAACGTACAGCTGCGACACCACACCACGCGATGTGAGTTTTCGCCGTCGGCAAACCCCATAGAAAGGGTATCAGGAGTTGCACACTCTTGGGAGCTTATATGCTCTTGCTACTATTTGTGGAACACTTTGGCAAATTTGAAAGTTAGAATATCACCAAAGTTTGTTACATCATCTTACCAAACTCTGGGTTGGTCCCATCAGGCGTGGAGGCCCTGAAAGATAGAAAGTGTCCAGAAATGCTCGCGAAGGCATGTGAGCGACTCAATTGAATAGCTTCCTCAGGAACACTCCAATTATTCCTCTTCAGGTACTTTTCTAGCCCAGATATGTGGTGGGAGTGCCCACGTGTAGACTGTACAGACCAGTTGATTTCCGTTGCGCTCGGTGTCTTCGTGTCCACAACTAAGGCAACTAGCACCTCACTTCCATGTTCCTTCTAAGATAATTCAACAGGAAGAACAGATCCGAAGCAACAGCAAAGCATTTCATGCCACAGAAAAGCATGATCGTCTCAGCTTTTGGAAAAGATATACAAGTAAATTGCCGGGATTAATCAATGAGCTTACGACCAATGCAAAGTCTAGTGACTGGCGCAGACCCCGGGCAAGCTGTGGCGCTGTCACATTTAGTGTAGTCAGTTGAAATGGCCCGCGGGAGCTCCAGCATGCTGTCCACGAGTCTCCTCTGCTCTCCGGATCACTTAGCATGACGTTCAGCTTTCTGCAGCTGGATGATGTCTTTGTGCTGAGTACCACATCGTGGAAATGAAGTGTGCCTGGATAGAAAATTAGAAATCAAACGCATGACAAATAGGATTTAGTGCCCTTGGTAAGCTGCATGTGTAAGCAAATTCATCTAATCTAGGTGGGGGGCAATGAAAGTTGTTTACCCGATTCAGCACAGATAATCCCCCCCCCCCCCCCAAAGAAAGAAAGAAAGAAAGGAGATCTTGCATGTGAGATGGACATGAGGATTCACTGCAATTGAGTGAAGCTTGTGACAAGAAACGCTTGCTTCTTATAAATTGAAACTAGTTTCTAATTCAGAAGTTGCAACTTTGGCGGTTTTTAGTGATGAACTACTTGGTTGCTCCAGCAAGGAACACATGCTTCCTGTCGAACTTGACTGACTCACAACTGCCATCCGGAGCACACGAGAAGCATGTCGCACCTTCCACTCGGCAAACCTGAAAGAAAGCACCACTCCCTGCTCAATACACAGTGCTTCGGGGAATTAACCCCTCATCAGTTGAGCTTGAGTAGGCTGAGGAAGATTGTGCCTGAAAAGCACCACTTATATAGTGCTCTCCAGGCAAAACCATCACCAGGTGACCATCGCCAGGCGATGAGGGGTGAATTCCCCCAAAGCACTGTGTATTGAGCAGGGAGTGGTGCTTTCTTGCAGGTTTGCCGAGTGGAAGGTGCGACATGCTCCTCGCGTGCTCCGGATGGCAGTCGTGAGTCTGCCAAGTGTCAAATTCGGCAGGAAGTGTGTGTGTTTGTTCCTCGTTGGAGCCACCAACTTCTAGTTTCCAATGTTATTGCAATTGAAGTTTGGACGAAGGCTGGGTTAATGCCACTACTTGAAGTTTGCGAAGTTCACAGTCTGCAAGAAGTGAAATTTGACATGCCAAAGTCCTCGGGATCGCAGAGAACGTTCACCTGATAATCCATGAGGTTTGTCTGATCGAAAATGACATGAAAATCTTGCAATATTTTAAGAAGGAATGAACTAAGTTCACTGGTAATGAGTGGTTGCTAGCCAATTTATTGCAATGATGCTGTGCAGTCATAATCGGTGACCCGGGCATTTGGCAGTATACTGACGGATAGTACCTACATTCAATGACATGACAGTTGTCTCTATCATGTCCCACTCCAAACTTGTTCCTTAACCAAGAATCTTTCAAGTTGGAAGGCTGTTGGTCAGTGCATCCAAGACTAGATAGAGCTGATTGTCAGGCCACTGCATGCCGCAGTATAATTAGTCAGTATTGTGCCAAATGTCTCACATTCTGACCCCTCGAACTCCTCCTACCCCCCCCCCCCCCCACAGTGTCATTGAGGTCTCACGCTTCGCGTGGCGAATCGTGGTATGCTGATGACCATTGAATCTTGTCTTGCATATCCCTTCCGTTAATCCGGTGTACTCCTTGATGTCTCTCCCAGGCATAAGTGCCCGGTACACAATGCTCGATGTTAGACAATTTCCTTCCAAGGGACAATCACTTTTGACACGGCAGTTACAGGTTCTCACATCCTCGGTCTTCTGGTGGTGGTCGCTGCGGAGGATACTATTGTTGTGTTTGATGATGGTGGCAACATTTGGCATACAACTGCAACTGTACTTTAGTGTGTCCCTGTTGAATATCTTGTAGAGCTTGCATCCTTTGTGAACGTGCTTGTTGACGAGTTGTGGAAATCGCTGACCGATGTTCGCAGACACATTCTTACTAAATGGTGGGTTAAACCAGGTAATGCTCCGGTGTCGACTCCTTTGTTTCTTCTTTCTCCCACTCTTCCGTTCTTTCAAGAACTGGACGGTCTCATTGTATCCGCTGTCTCTGAGTGCATTATTGTAAAGTTGAGATGCGTCCTAGAATGTCTCTTGATCCGTTGATATGTCCGTTAGTCGTCGGCTGATGGAAGATGGCAATCCTGGATGATGATTGGTGGGTTGTTGGATTGGTGATGGATTGTAGTGGCCGGTCGTTGGGCTTCCGGTATGGACGATAGTTGCCAGTGTGTAGGTCCAGTGTAATGAAGTCGACTGATTTGAGGTTTGCCTGGATGGTGATTTTGAGTCCTAAGCTGTTGAAGATTTTGGTCATGACCTTCCTGATCCTGTCAACCTCCGGTCCCGACACATTCCTGAACATTGGCAACCGATCGTCACGGTAGAGTCCAATGTCACTGCCGTTGTACACCTCACATAGTTTGGCAAGGGCTAGCGTACCGACCAACTCACACACGTCAGCACCGTCATAGCATCCCATTTTAACATCAAATACTCCGCTTCTAGTCTTCATCCACTCTTTTTAAAGGCCGAATAGCAGATATTTCCTTGTGTGGAGGATTGTTTCCTGATCCTCCGAGGACACCGACGTGAAGCCTCTGGTAAACTGCAACGGCGTCAATAACAGCTCCTCCGAGATTGACAGGTAAAACTCCACGACATCAAAACATACAAAAACGCAGTTTTGCTTTTCCTCCAGCCCCTCGAACCAGTCGATCACGGCGGATGTGCTAGTGAAGCAGCGGCTGCGCGACGCCTGCAAGCCACGACGTCGAAACACCACCAGAGCCCAGCAGGATATTGTTCTGTCACTGCGACAGGATCTACGTATCATTGTCCGTGACGCAGACAAAAATCTGGGTACAGCTATCCAGAATTCCGATGAATTTGCCGCCGAAGCCGCCCGACAGCTCGCGGACACCTCAACATACCGCATTGTTTGCCCCTTTGGCCGGGACACTGCCCTCAATCCAGAAGTCAAGGCCATCGAAACGGAGCTAACCAGGATCATTTCACCTTGGGCCCTGTGGAGTTAAAGGCAGGCCCATCGTGTCGTGTCAGGGCTACTGCACAACCCCAGCCTCTCGCTATGTCGACTACCATATAAAGAGTCTCATGAAATCAGCAAGCACTGTGTTTACTTCTACTAACAATGTTGTAAAGAGATTGATCACTCCGTCGAACGATGACTTGAGTGACTTGAGTGACTGCTTCCTTTTGACTGCAGACGTCGAAAGTCTTTACACATGTATGTCGTGGAAAGACACGACCAATGCGCTGTATGTGTTCCTCGACGAAAATAATCACCCCTTGAAAGACTTGCTCATTGATCTTTCTTCTTTTGTGCTAAGAAATAATTTTTTCGAGCATGATGGTTTGGTGTATCACCAAGAGAATGGCATGGCGATGGGTACACCCATGGCGGTTAATGTTGCAAATATTTTCCTCTTCGTCCATGAGCGTACATCACTCTCGGTCTTCCGTAACACCATAAAGTTCTTCGGTCGATACGTTGATGATCTTCTCTTAATCATCAAAAGACTGAGCAATCTGCCTGCCGTCAAACGGCACATGTACGCAAAACTTGACACCATCAGACGTACGTGGTCAGACCCCAGTAAAAGTATTGAGTTTGTTGAATTGATCATCTCTATTAATGAGCAATCCACATTCACATTCAGTACTTTCCAAAAGCCCAGGAACACTTATCTGTACATCCCATTTACGTCCGACCACCCCCGCTCATGTTTCGGAGCTTTTATTAAAGCTGAATTGCTGCGCTATAACCACACAAACAGTGAGATCACCTCCCTGCTCGCTATACGTGATGCTTTCTGGACCAGGCTTCGCAAGCGTGGTTACCCTCCTAGGTTTCTCCACGATGCGTTCAGTGATACCCCAGCTAGCTGTCAACTCATACCTCCAGCTAGCTCTGTGCAAGCTTCTGCCTCTTGCCCCACAGTTTTTGTTACTGACTATCACCCTGGCCTCCTCAGCCTTCAACGCACCCTGCAAAATTCTTTTCGCGCAACTTATGTTTTAGGAAACCACATTCACGATGGGTATAGGTACTTTTACCTCCATGCACTCAGCCTCGTTTTTATTTTTTCGCCTTGCAAGCAACCCCGGCCCCGTGCTTTGTTCACGCTTTTTTCGCGCTAAATCGCTAAATTGCTTTTTTCGCGCTAATTACTCGACAGTACTTAACGCCTGTCTGTCCAGTTCTCTGGTTATATTGAGTTCCATATTGTCATTTATCTTCATTCCTCTGATGAAGTGACTCATGTCACAGAAACCGGTCAGGTTAAAGAACTTGCAACTCTCCTTCAGTCCTTGCTTGTCAGTGCGTCAACTCTCCTTCAGTCCTTGCTTGTCAGTGCGACGTGGTTGTTATGTTTTAAACTTCCCGTGTAGCCGGGACCTTCGCCGCTGCTTCACTAGGATTGCCTTTGACTGTATCTTTCCAACATCGCTCTTCGCCGGATTGATGAGGCGGCATGAGAGGTTGTCGTTGAAGTTGTCCTTATGGTCCTTTAATGTCATGTACGCGTTTTTTGCCATGGAATCCATTCTCTCGTCCAATCCATGGGCGTTGGCTACACTCTTAGCCTCCTCCATATTTATGTCGTCGTACGTATTTTCCGGTGCTTGTTTGTAGTTCTTGGTCACATTATCATGCATCATCTTCTCGTGGCGGTCCTTCTTGACGGCGTGCATGTTCCTTGTCTTGTCCGCAGCCACGGAGATGTTGCTTGACTCCTGGATGTGAGCAATGTCATCTCTGAGCCGCGACGGGACAGTGACCGTCATCCTTTTGAACTCAACAGTCTCCACCATCCTCAGCAGATCATCCTCAAAAGGCTCAAGTTCCTCGACCTGCGGTGGACATTTCCGAAATTTGAACCCAAAGTCGCTTGACTCCTGGATGTGAGCGATGTCATCTCTGAGCCGCGACGGGAAAGTGACCGTCATCCTTTTGAACTCAACAGTCTCCACCATCCTCAGCAGATCATCCTCAAAAGGCTCAAGTTCCTCGACCTGCGGTGGACATTTCCGAAACTTGAACCCGAAGTTGTCCTGCTGTTGCTGTTCAGCCTCGTCACCTTGCCCGGCCTTTCATGAAGAAGATTGCCCACCAACGCAAACACTGTGATGACAGCAGAGCCCTGCTGAAGTGAAATGTACCCGAAATGCAAGGTACGACAGGACATTGTTCGTAGATGAAGATTAGTGTCAAAGTCAATACGTTGTGCCAATGGAGTGGGAAATGTCGTTCCCGACTGAATGGTTGGTCTTAGCAAAGTTTCGGGTTCTTGAGACTCAACATTTATTTTGGATAGTCCTATAAGAGAGTTAATCTTAGCCACGTTTTCATATTAGTACTTGGTCCGTTTCATCGCAATTGTCGCTTATCTCCCACGCACCTTTTGACAGGTAAAACCCAGTCCGATCTCGATATCTAACTCACATTCGTTCGGGAGGTTGTGATGGCAAGATCAAAGGAGACCAGAAAGAAAAAAACCTTCGCGACTAGCGCCAGTGGTATCGCGATTCATACAATTTTGATGGGAAAGTGGGAAACTTTTCACTGCAATGAATGCACTGCAGTGAATGCGCACATTCACTGCAGCGAAAAGCCAAGCGCAGCTCAAAGACCGGAACTGTAGCAGGGAAAATCGCCATCCTGACCTGGAGAGCGTGACAGTCACAGCCAGGCCAGCCAGCTCAGTCGCCACGTTTGAACTGCAATGACCTGGTATTCTTTGCAAGCCTGCAAACTGATGGGAGATGGTGGCAAAGAAGACATTGTCCGTCCTGGCAGCGGCAGTACAAGAGTCGTGGTCAGCGTATCCAGCAGAGCGTATGACAGCTGTCTGAAGAGGGATGTGTGCCTGATTCAAAAACATTGTTGAACACACAGTACTGTAGTGACAGACGGGTCACGCTGCCCACGTTCCTCCAAGTGCCAAAGTGACAGCCCAACTGTTCCTTTCCCATCGCTGCCATACGCCAAGCGGAGAAAGCAAGAGATACTCTACGGCAGCCGCTATAGCCTATACACACCAGCGAATTTCAGCTGAAGTGGCATCAGCTCGAGTAATACAGAGCCAGAGTTGGATAAACTAAAGCGTGAGAGCAAGAAGGCGCTCCGTCGCTGTTTTCTTTTGTACATTTTTGTAACCTTGCTTCTTTTCTTCGACTTCCTTCATCAGATTCCATCGCTGAATTTCTTTCTTGTGGCGGACAGGAATCCTGTATCATGCTTCTTCACTATGCGTATTGGAAATTTTACAGAGCGGTAAAAAACTCCTGTTCTTAGTTGCGATAGATAAGCGACAATTGCGATGAAATGGACCAAGTAGTAATTGCAATATGCCTGCACCCCCACTGCTTCCCCGCCTCACAGTTCAGAATTCTGGCACCTTACTATCTTGCCCGTGTAAGCCAACTGGATCTGGTGTTGGCTGGATGCGAAGGAAGTCTGGTAGGGAAATCTGTACCATAGCACCGGTAGAACCATGCGCTCCATCAATGAACAGCATTGAAAGGAGCACAAAGAGCTCAGCTAGTCTCTTGCTGCTCGCCATGCCCCAATGCCGTTGCCGAGATCTCTAATAGCCGATACACCCTAAAGCACAACGTCATAGACAGCGGAAGCAGCAGCAGCAGCAGCAGCAGCACGGACGGCGGCGGCAGCAATTGCAGGCAGAGGCAGTCACAACATGAACATAGCATGTGCGAGTTGTGTACTCGAAGTACTATCCACATTCTCATTCTTCTAAGAAACATTTTTGATGAACATTGAGTGGCTGGAGCTTGTGAATAGCACTCTTTTTTTCTTTCTTTTTTAAATACAGAGACTAACTATGAAAATAAAGTCATACTTGCCAACCCCTGGCCAACAGTTTTCTTGACACTGATGAGGTTTTTCCTTGATTTTGTCCACTTCTCCTTGTTCTGTCCAATCATTCACAAAATAGTACAGCACGTACGACAAAAACGTACTTGTCCAAGCGCTAACTCAAGAGTTCTTGCTCGTTAGAGCTCCAATATGAGTACAGCACATGCTCGCGAGCGTCCAAAGAACTGAAGATCAACAACAAAAAAGGTGCTGACGGATATTTTTCAAAATCCGGTAGATATTATAACTTTTCCGGTATACCGGGACGAAAGCGAGTTTTCCTGGATTTTCCCCGGAAATTCTGGTAGGGTTGGCAAGTACGTGAAGTAGTGCTATCGCGCTTGCTTTGAAGTAACAGAGGTCCTAACATCATTTTAGAGAATAAGCACAAAGATGACACCGGTACGCTCAATGCAATGTGGGTGTAGATACATGTACTGCTGCAGATGCAATAGATCTCAGCACACTCAAATACCATAATTATAGAATATTGGGGGACTACTTGCAGTGCTGTGCTGCCCACATCGCTGTATACCGTATTTTCCAGAGTGCTGGCCACACTTTCAAATGGACTATATATGCATAAAGAAACACAGAAGGAAGAGGAGGATGAAGAGGAGGATGAAGAGGAGGAGGAAGAGGAGGAAGAAGAGGAGGAGGAGGGGTGTTGGTTACACTCCAGCACAACCAACACTCTGGAAAATACGGCACTGCATCTGTGCAGAGTGCACAACAAGCGTGCAAACCCATCATTGCCTTTGGCTTTGGTCTGTTCTTTGGTCAAAGCCTCGGCCACATGCCTCACTGGGCTCGCAGGAAAATACTCTACTAAAATGCAGTTCAGAAACAAAACTGCGTAGAGTAGATCTACACGTGTTGGTTCTGTGAACGTTTCCTTCCAAGTGACCAGCTAACTAGTTTCTGTCCCATACAGTTGAGTTATCCTGACCTGGCTTGGTCACAGCTACCGGTAACCAACTGGTCAGCTCACCGTGGCTCTGGGACTGGGAGCTAGTGCGGTGTAGACTCGACTGACCAATCAGGAAGAAAAGGCGCGGCAAACATTTACACTTCTTAGTCTTATTCCAAGCGCGCTGCCAATCTTTTTCAAGCTCACATCCGACGAGCGGCTCAGACTAAAACATGACACAATCTTCTTCTTGAGCAACTACTATCGCCGCCAAAAAATCTGGCCAATGCTGCACAATCATGGTAGTCGACTACCATGTGCAGCATTGGCCGGGTTTTTTTTTCGTGACAGTACCACAAAGCAAGTCTGCGCCTAACGACCCCGTCAATTATTTCGGTTTACTATAGTTTAGCCGAAAGGAAATAGCGTCAGGTCCCGAATTATTAACTCCTTTTCGCACAGCTGTTTTGAATACTTCAAACTGTTGTTCATGCGAGCCTAGGAAGGTTCTATCGACGGAATGGGCAGGAAAGAGGCTTCGGTTGGATAGATAGCCCCAGAAAAAAGTTCCCCGTTCTTATGGGAAAATGCTAGTACTAGTAGTAGTGGTGAAGTATAAGACGGGGTTAGTACATGTACCGGTATGTTACACACTCACCTCTGCCGTCACGGACTGGTCCAAGCTCACCACCACTACCCGAACCTGAACAAGACGACTCTTGCCAAAAAGCAAACAGATGCACCAACATCACTCTCCTTTAGACCAGAAGCCTGAGACTGAAGTCGCTGCTGATACTTTTTGTCCTACACGCCCTGCATGCTCGCACGATACAAGACATGGCCGGCCGGAGGTGCAGGATCTAAGGCCGGGGGCCGGGCTTGGCGAGCTCCCACTCGCAAGTGGCCTAGCCGACGGAGCTCCGGAAGCTGTTCGCACTTGTTACACCTGTACATGTACGAGACGAGCACGCGACGGACGCTCATTCGCGAATTCGCCAGTCTTCGTCCGCGATCACCGCCGCCGTCACCATGTAGTCTTGTAGACCTACAAGTGGTAGATCTACAAGCTTAGCTTCTTCATCCGCTGCCACCGTCGGAAATTCGAAGCGCGTAGTCTACCGGCCGAGCTGGTGCTGGGCCTGCTGCAGTGCTGGCGGAGTTTTTATTTCGTCTCGTAGACTTCGACAAGGCCATCGAGTCTTCACGGTACGAAATGCGAAAGTCTCGAAAATTAATGCAGCCAATCATGAATGCAGGCGCGAGACCCGCACCATGGTGTAGACTACCAAGGACAGGTACGGTCGGTGTATATCTACCGTATTTTCCGGGGTATAAGCCGCACCGGGGTATAAGCCGCACCGGGGTATAAGCCGCACCCCCCCTTTTTGAGGCAAAATTTTGACTAAAAGTTGGTATTCGGAGTATAAGCCGCACCCACAAACCAAGATTTTTCACACTCATTGACAAATGGCCTTTCTACAAAATTTAATATACTATGGTTATGGAGCTAAATACCATGTTAGATCAGAATAATGATTATGAAGTGTTAGTGCACCACAGGTTGCTGCAGAGATGTTGGTGTATTGCTGTGTTGACTACAGATCACTCCATGTCATCTGCACTATTAACCCTTTGTGGGTCTTACTCAATGTATGTGAGGGGTGGTCACGCAAACACGCGTACAAACAACGAGCCATAACTCAAGTTCCTTGAGTTGTAGGTATGGGTAAACTATATATTTTCAAAATCTGTATGCCTGGACGCGTCCAGAAAACACAAATATGACTATGTCCAGGCAAGGGTATGACCCGTGGTAGCCCTTCAAGTTGAGAGAAAATACAATTGCGAACAAAAAAGCACAAAAATCACAGCTCGAAGTGCATACCAAGTTCGTGATGGAGCTGAAGTCCTATGCTAAACAATCAGGTAAGCGCTACGTCTTGGTGAAGAATATATGCTCCTAATTCCGTCCTTGAACTCCAATACCTCGCCATCGGCGATGCACCAGCAGCAACAGTTCCACAATATCACAATTTTGGTTCGTTCACCTCAGCGCCGCTCGCGTCAGATTCACTCTCGCTCAGATGAGTACTCAGGCGCGATGTCACGCGTGCCGTGATTCTCACGGCCAGGCGAATCAGCTGATCGCACCTGACAAGTCCTTGTAAGAGTTGCTGTTGCTGTGCTTCCTCGCTGGTTGGTAAATTTGATTTCTTCATTCGGGGACGATTTATTTGAGCTAGGAGGACTCAACGGAGCTCTCTTTCTCACGACATTACACTGGAAATCCTCCAGGGACATCCAGCCTAGACTGGTGCCGTCAGTGTCCTCAGAAAGCTTTTCTGACACGGCTTCAAGAGATGCACTCCCATTCTCGAAATGCGCGTATGGCGGATGGTCGTCTTTTCCAATTTCACCAGACTTCAGTCGATCGATACTGCAAAAATTTGTATAGTAAGTATGGTTGTTTTTTACACCGTTGGAAAGCCTGGGACCTCAGCTACGAGTGGAGCACCATTTTAGTTGTCTCCTAGCAACAAAACTCACAGAAAATGCGATTTTACTGTTAGGGTCACATACGACCCTTACGCTTATGTGAGACCCATAAAGGGTTAATATTATCTTCAGTCTCGCTAGCGCTGCCACTGATGTTGATCAGCAACACAGGCGCGAAGCTGAGTCGAATGACATGTCACATGACGTCAGCATGCATACTGATGTATGCTAAGCATTCATTCGCGCAAGCATATTCGGCAGGGAGTCGTAAAAGTATTTTACGACTCCCTGATATTCGGTGTATAAGCCGCAGGGGCGATTTTGGTCCGATTTTTAGCGAAAAAAAGTGCGGCTTATACCCCGGAAAATACGGTACCTTCCAGGCGTTGGCGGAGTTTGTCAGGGTATAGCGTGAAAGCCCATTTCACGCCTCCCGTCTCCACTCGTTCCCTGCCCTGTGGCTGCAGCGCTGGTACTCAGTGGTAGAGCAGACTACAGTATCCCATGACCATGATGACATGAGATGATGAGTGAGTACTGGGGGCCTTCACCTGTTCACTTCTGTCACCGGCTTCATCAGGCAAGCCAGGGAGTCATAAACCGGATTTCACACTTGCCACGTGATCGTTGCCACGGTTTGAGCCAATCAGAGCGCTCACAGGCAGGGCATGAACCTCTGATCATGCCCTGCCATTCAGGCCCTTGGGCTTGAATGGCACCGTAGGAGAACATGAATGATCACGTGATGGGTATACTCGCACGTGGAGAGACTTACCTGATCGAGGTGGAACAACTCAAGAGAGAAAGAGAGAAAGAAAAAGCCTGATATCCGGTCCATGTCTGATACATGCGGTGGCATTCATGTCAGGCCCTTGACCAATCAGCACGTCCCGAGAGCTTGTGGAGGTGAAACTGAACACGCCGGCATGAAGGTATAAAAGGAAGAAACCTCTAGGGGTGGTGGTCTGGTCGGGGACGTGGAGGATTCAGCTTCTGAGTTTCAGCTTCTGAGTTTCAGGTTGGTACGCTCGAGGGCTTTGTTGATTCAGGCCCGAGAGCGGCCCAAGGCCGAAGGCCGCGGGCCGCTCTCGGGCCTGAATCAACAAAGCCCTCGAGCGTACCAACCTGAAACTTCACCTTGCTTCAGATGAAACTTTACCTTGCTTGAGTTGAAACTTCACCTTGCTTGACATGAAACTTCAGAACGAAACTTCAGAACGAAACTTCAGAACGAAACTTCAGCCGGAGCGCACGGAGGTGGAACTTCAGCTTGTGAGTTTCTGCCATTGTTGTGCAACGAGTGCCATAAAGGACTTG